AAAAAAAAAAGGATCAAAAGCGCAAAAATAAAGCTAGTGGAGTCAACAATGAAAATAATAATAGAAGCACCTTGCATATGAGATTTGCAGGCATCGCGAGGCATCCTTGGAGCCTGTCCCAGCGTCGACACTCATGCTGGAACTTACGGCCGGCGTCAAGTTGACCTATCTGGCAGAGGGTGCCGCCAACATAGTCTACAATATCTCCTCTGACCCCTATCCCTCAGCTGCCCCCGCCAGAGCTCCAGACATCTCAGGCACCAAGCCACGAACAGGGTTGGGTCAAGCTCAAGCTGCGTATCCGGGCAAACTGCTTCGTTTGAGGAAGAAGATCGACTCAGGAACACCTTACCTAGAGATTACCCGCAGATTCAACTCGCAGGTCCGCTCGCTGTTCCAGGACGAGGAGCTCGTCTCGCAGGAACTTGTCAGGCTACCGGACGGTCTCACCACGGCCTGCAATGAGCGTCTGAGAGACGATGAGGCGCAGGACCGCCGGCCCATGAAGCGGCGAGGTGTCTATCTCTGCACCGATGAGCCATTCGGCCTTCTCATCAAAGACATGACTGCTTCCCCTGGCTCAGGTGCAACGCTCTGGGAGTTCAAGCCCAAATGGCTGGTCCAGTCTCCCTCTGCGCCCCCAGACTCTCGCCGATGCCGCACCTGTGCTCTACGGGAAAAGAGGCAATTTACAACCAGCCGGGGAGCAACCATGGACAAGACGGCTGAACAGCTTCAAGGCAAGAGATCATTTTGTCCGCTTGATTTGGTCTCAAACAGGCTCGAGGACATCATGTCTGCGGTATCAGTGATCATTGATAGCCCCGACGATGCTCGTCGAATAGCTGCCTTTATATACCAAAACCCAACGCTGCTCAAACTTCGAGACAAGCAGCACCAGATGAACGCTGTCGGGCTGGAAGGTATCCATGCGTCACCAGAGGAGAGAGCTATCTCCATGACGCTGAGAGACTGCACGATGTTTGTTAAGGTAGGGTTTCATGCATACAGAACTAGATATACAATATGTCTCAATCGGTGTCATCTTCCTCTTTCACCAACATATATGTGTACACCGTATCTGACGGGTTTTTTGTAGGTTCCACAGAAACATAATGAACCCCTTGAACTTCGTCTGGGCGATCTTGACTTCAAGAGTGAAGACGGGGGCAAACTCCAGTACTGGCAAGATACCGAGACTGAGCTGATCGAAGAGGGATGGTACTTGGGTGTTCACAGAAGTCAGGATAAGAACACCGAGTGCGCCCTTGGCCGCTAGTCTAACTTTGGTCCACGTTCTCACCGCACTTTTTTGCCATAGGTCAGACTACATATAGCCTATGCATGGTCGTTTGGTTCATGCCATCATCCTTTCATTAGCTGGCTATACAAAGCTGTTCTATATCTTTTTTTTCAAACAGTTTTGGCTTGGCACTTCCCATATCACGTGACATGTGGACTAAATGCTTATATAATCAAATACATCATTGCGATACTCCCGTTTAGAGTAGATATCAAAATCTCGCGATAGCGACGGACGATGCGACGGGGTGGTCGTTTGCTAGCTGATATACCCCTGAGCAAGGGTAACAGTGCATTATCTCAGGTCTCTAATACTACATCCTCCTAATCAGAAGAACAATGTGCAACGCTTTCCTTTCTTATTACCTCGTCTCAAATCACATCAATTAATCAAGATGCCTGCCCAAATATCGCATCGTAATGACCTCTCCTCCGTCCTGAACCAGGTAAGTCAACGATGAGCCGCTTGATAGTTTGATACTCCAGCTAACTAAAAATACTCTGATAGATCGTCCTATCCTCCTCAGACACTGACTACCTCGACCAACTCATTCCTTCTATCCGCGAATATAGCCATGGAAACCGAACCACACAGCTCCTACACTCCCTTACCAAATTCGCAGACGACCGGGAAGCGAAAATTGAAAGCATATGCAACTCGACACACCAAGACTTTGTCTCTTCGGTCAACCAACTCCTTCAAGTCCGTGAGGGTACCGTCAACCTCACCCAAGAGATTCTCGGCCTCAACCAATCCATCCTCGCCAGCACAAAGCGCCTAGCCGAACAAAAGAAGGCCCTGGTTGAATCGCGCAGTCATCGCCAGAATATTGACGAAACCTCTAAGGCCCTGCAGGATTGTTTGGAGGTTCTCCGTCTCGCAAATCAAGTTCACGAACTACTTGCTAAGAAGAACCATTATGCCGCGCTCAGAGCTCTGGATGAGTTGCAGAATGTTTATCTCAAGGGCGTCACGCAGTATAAGATTGCAGAAGTTATACAGCGATCCGTGCCAATGACGCAGAAGGCGATTGCGGATGCAGTCATGGACGATTTGAATACGTGGTTATACCGCATTCGTGAAATGTCGCAGTATCTGGGTGAACTATCACTATTCCACACGGATAAGCGAAAGGAGAGGCTAGCAGAGCGTAGTGAGAAGATACCCTACCTGTCGCGGTTTAAACTTAATTTAGCTATAGAACTAGTGTCTGATGAGATGGAGGAGTTTGATTTACTTTATAATGACGACCTGCAAGTGGACTTCTCGCCCTTGCTCGAGTGTATGCATATACACCAGTCCCTTGGCCAGATGGACAAGTTCCAGGTTGAGTATGCGACGACAAGAAGACAGCAAAAGGATCTCCTGCTGCCTACTTCCATCACTTTACTGTCAGAAGACGGCTCGAGTCTGCATACTTTACTGGAAGAGATTGCTGGCTTTGCCTTGGTTGAGCGAGCCACAATGAAGAGAGTCCCTGAGTTGAGGTCTCCTGTAGATGTAAGTGGCCATCATTCATTCATGCATTGAGCAATAAACTAATTACACCCCTGTAAACAGGTTGAAGAATTATGGGACTCAATGTCTCAGACTGCCGTCGGATTGATTTCAAAGGCGCTGCCGACAGTTGATAACTCGGAGGATATCCTTAAGATAAAGAATCTCATTACTCTTTTTATGCAAACCATGAGCGTACGTCCTACCTCTTCTCCCAACTACCGCCTATAGACTGCTAACTTAGTTTGTTTTCAAGTCATTCTCTGTTGGCCCGTTTGATAGACTTCTTCTTACATTATTCGAAAAATATACCGAACTACTAAAGAGGAGATTTAGTGATGATTTCCAAGAGGTGAGTACTTATCTTTGTTTCTGTATTCCTAGCTGCTTACTTTGTATCAGATCGTTCAAACAGATGACTACATGCCCATGCCTATCCGGAGTGACGAGGAGTATGACAAGGTCCTGAATGTCAGCTGGTATACCCCTGAGAAACCTCGAGAAGAACAAACGTAAGATATTGTCATATGCCCCTTAATATATCTGGTTCTTCTAACAGCAATGCAGATATCCTTGTGTTCTCCCGTTCTCACAGATGTATCCTTTGTGCTGCATCGATATCAGAAACCTTCTAAACCAGTTCTACTATTTCTCAGGGGACAACTTTAATCATCCAGCCGTTATAGATGAAACCGTTCGAAGTGTACGTTTATGGCTCCCCTCCGGTTATTCGAACTTCCCTCCACGATTCATTTCAGTTCATCGCTTCAGTTACTAAAATTTATTATTACAGTCTCTGGATGAGCTTCTCTGCAACAAAGTATGCGAAATGCTCACGGAGCGGCTTGGTTCGCAATACCTTGGCCAAATAGTCCAAATCCTCATCAACCTGGAACACTTCGAAATTGCATGCCAGGAACTTGAAGTTCTTCTAGCAGCTGCCCGATCATCCAACTCCGGCGAGGGTCCTATCGCCCTTAATGCCACGGAGAAGTTCCGCATGAACAAGAAGGCAGCTGAGAAACGGATTTTTGAGGTCGTCAACTCGAAGATCGACGACCTTATCGAAACAGCTGAATATGACTGGAACGCGCCCAAGCTACAGATGGAACCAAGCAATTACATGCAGACGCTGACCAGATTCTTGTCGAACATCATGAACTCTACTCTTCTTGGCCTGCCAACGGAGATCAAGGAGCTTATCTATTTTGATGCCCTCAGCCATGTCGCTAATAGGGTTATAGTATGTGGTCTTTTGTTTCCAACTCGACGCAGGTTGTACTTGTCTAACACTTCAATCACCCAGGCCCTCCCACTTGATCCTGAGGTTAAAATAATCAATCCTAACGGGGTTGCTGCATTAGCCCGAGATGCAGACTACCTGTCGAAATTCGTGGATAGTTTGGAAGTCCCCATCCTGCGAGAAAACCTTGATGAATTGCAACAAACTGTCCAATTGATGATGGCCGAGAACACCGATGAGTATTACGATATTGCGGTGAGAAACAAGAAGTACGGACGCGTTGATCCTATGAACGGACCAGTCTTGCTTGAAAAGTAAGTCTCTACCTTCCCACATTAATCGCTATCATACAGTATCTTGAAAAACAGAGAACTAGCCAAACGACTCATACTAAACATCTGCATAGGCTTTCTCGAGCGGTACAAAGCCCCTCCAAGCCAGACAGTAAATTCAGCCTGTCAAATCGGTTTGGAAAGAAGTATTGAGCCGAGCCGAGCCCGATGTCATGTCTCAAAGAACAAGAGGGGGGTTCCTTCTTTGAAAATATACACATCGTTATGTACTATATATACCCGCCACGGTTGAAGCTACCTTCAGACGCCTCCCCGCCTTGCATTCTTATTAATATGCCCCATTGCGAGATGTTGAAAACTGTACAAGAGAAGCCTTGGGAACAGGATAAATTGAAATAAGGGGCGAGGCAAGGAGGAAGATGCACGGTTTGATGATACCAAATTCTTTTCATGTAAGGGAACGGGAGAGACGGGTGAACAGACAGGACAGCAGCGGAATAAGCAGTGGTAGGGTAGGCAGGCAGTAATGATAAATGATAGCACCCAGCAAACGACAGTCAATACTTAATAACAACCCACATCTCTGAGTCTCGACGGCCACCAAGAATGAGGGAAAGGGTGGAAAGGGAGAAGGTATCAAGAAATGGTTTGAAAAGGGCAACGGAGGTGAGTGAGCTTAGAATGACAGGTCATAAGAATAATAAAAACGTATATAATTAAGGTTTCGTCCCACCAGGAGCTCCGTTTTTCTTGCCCATTAATCCCTAGAGAGCGATTGTCGAGTCGCCCTTTTTGGGATTCTACTTTGATAGTGCACCGACTTGGTATGTAACATATGAATTAGAAAGAAAAATTTCAGGGTCGCTCGCACCGACATCCGGAGCTTCAATCGGCTGCTTTCAACTTTGATCACTGTAAGGTGGAAAGGTTAGGGCACCGATGCATAAGGGATGGGAGCCTTGGAAACAAAACTGTTATCGTACGCGGGAAGTACAACTCACCTGCTGAGGGGGTAATTGAGAATATCCGTACATCTCGCCAAACATCTGGGGTTGGGGGTGGCCGTAGGCAGGGTCTGACTGTACTGCCCCACCGTACATGGGAGGCTGCTGTCTGTAGTCCTGTTCCTGGCCGAGGGGATGCTGTCCCATGGCGCCGTACTCTGGAGGGCCCATGGGGTGCTGCTGAGGTACACCTGGTGGCTGGGGTGGTAGCTGGCCCGGTCCTGGCGCCTGGGGGGCACCGGGGGCCTGGGGAGCTGACCGTTTGGTATGAGAGGTAGCTTCTTCCCTGGGAACGATATCGATCAGGAAATCAAACATGTCTGACTTTGCCAGGGCAGCTGCAATGTCTGATCGCTGCAAGGTACGTCGTTTGTTGTCTTCGGCATGTATCCAGGCGCGCATGGTCAATTCGGTTATGAATACGTCGCAGCCTTTGGCGAACAGGACGGGCGCTTCGGCTGAAATCATCTTCACTTCCGGGTCGGCTTTCATCACCTTTTTGATGCGTGCCAGCGGTAGTTGGTGGATTTTGTAGTCATGGTTATCAGACTCGAGGTGGTTGATGGTGTGCTGCCAGTATGTCGTCAAGATATCACGCGCAGAGCCTTGGAGGCCCTGATTGACCTGTTCCGCCATGATTCAATGGTTAGCGCGCGTGCTTCCAGAATGGGAGAGGGTAAAAGATGGGTTATGCGACTCCATACGTTTGCCCATGTACCTGCATATAGCTCTGGAACCGGCGCGTATCCTTGTGCAGAGAGCTGGTCCATCAAAAACAACCAATTAGTGACCGGCCTCTCGTATATATATGTATCTATATCTATAGGTCAAGCATCGAACCATCTCTATGGAGAGAGGATTACTGCTGATCAAACGAGTGTATGTGGGGGGAGGAGAAGAGGGAGTATAATTCTCTTTTTTAGACATACCGCTGCGCTTGCGCCTGGAGAGAGAGAGCCATGATGTTAGCATATATATTCTTGTGTTATTTTGTAGCAAAAAACCAGAAGAGGAAGAGCAGGAGAAACAGCTGGACGAACCATAATGGCCCCCATTCCGAGTGTCATATACCGGCTGCGACTGCTGTGACTGCGGCTGCGACGACGCTGGCTGGTGATGCATGAGGTTCTGACGAGCGGATTGCGATGGCTGGCCCGCAGCCTGGTTTTGTTGCTCCATAAGTGTGTGTCTGTCTGGCTGTCGCTGGGTGCGAGCTGTCTGTTGACGCCTTCAGTCCGTCGTCGTCGTCTGCGTCTGCGTCCGATGCGAGATGCGGCGATGCTGGCTACCTGGTCGAGACGGCGGAGGGCGAAGGAGGGACGGCAGGCCGGATCGAAGTCGTGAAGAGCTGCTGGTCGAGTGGCGGTGAAAAAGGGCCGCGAGAAAAGAGGCCTAAAAGTGTTACCGTGTTGGGTGGGGAGGTGAGGCCGGAGCAGCGAGGAGCAGAGAGACGAGACGGGATGCTGCGCCCGCGAGCGAGATGTTGTTATTATACTTATATGGATGGGCAGGACAACAGGTCTCGCAGCAGCCAGACGGGAGTGCGCCTTAGAGCTGAGGATGGCGAGCTACTGTTCTTTTTTTTTTTGCTTCTTCTTAGGACGCTCTTCCGTCGCGATGGCAAGGATTAGGTCGAGTTTTAAGGGGAAGAAGACAGACAGAGAGAGACGAAGGCGAAGGCGAAAGACGAGGAAGCAGAAGAAGAGCTTTCTCTCTCCGTTCTTGTTTTTGGTAGCTAGCTTGGAGGGAAAAATAAAAGAGCTGGTCCTGAGGGCAGCGTCCAATATAAACTACCGCGGACGATAATTTCCAGTGTATATATATATATATATATATAATAACTACTCGACTATAGACGGACGTGCTTGTCTCTGCGCCCATCGCCGTCTCGCAGGTACCTGCTTCTCGGTGTAACCGGGCACCCGATCCCTCGATGACATCTCCATCCATGCTCCAGAGGGCACAGCGCGCGTCCAGACGATGACGGGCACACCAGCGACGGGCTCTCCCCATACGCCAACCAGCAGCCAGTCAAGCCATGAGACAGCGGCCGCTCACCAAACAATCACCTCCCAGCGCCCCAATCATGGGCTGCGAACCCGGTCAAGGATTGGAACACCGTCTCCGGCAGCAGCAGCTGGTCCTCGAATCGGATGCGCTGTCGGAGCCCCCCTTGGCAGCCCTATCCGCCTAAGATTGGGCGCCAATGAAGCACCAGCGAAGCGTTGCTTGACGCCCCAAAGGGCCTCTCCTCGCTCGCAGCCGGTCTCCAATCGTGTGCGGCGTCGCGTGTATTTCGACGTTCGGCCGTCCCTTGGGCCTACCCTTGGGGTTCTATGCGTTGTTATCATTGGGACAGTTGGGCGCAAAGGGGGATCTGGCCTGCATTGCAGCTGGGCAATCAGGTGGCGTGGTCGCTTCGGTCGTCTACGGCGGGTTCGTCGAGCTATTAACTAGTTATTCTGCGAGCGTCATTCCTTTGCCTCTCTCTCTCTCTCTCTCTCTGT